TAATAGCGACATTATCATCTGGACACGTGACTCACTCCGAGACCGACTACGACCCCACCAGACACTGGCTAATTCTTATTCTGGAATATCTGCTTTCTTAAATAGGCGATAGACTTTGCTGAATCGTAATTCGTATGGAAATAGATGGTTGATGCTAGAATTTGAAATCGATGTAAAAGTAATAAAAATGATAAGTTCATTGAAATACATGCTTTCTTTTCGAACAAAATTAATGAAACGAGTTTTATTTTATTTTAAACGAGCTATTTGAACGAGCAAACCATTTTGGTATCTAATTAAATTATTAACTTCCCGTAGGGTAAGTTATTGTAATGAGCCGAAAATCTAAATTGAAAATTTTTACATTTCTCGACGTTTTGAAGGTTTCTGAACATTTTGGCATACTTCAGAAAAAATGGATGTGTGTGTATGTGTGTGTGTATGTATGTATGTATGGATACAAATTTTCGCCCACGTTTTCGTGCGTACGGATCAACCGATTTGAATGGTTCAAAAAACAATCGATCAGTAATGATTGGAAGAAGTGGTTATTACTAGGCAGGCCTAGCCATTTTGAAGATACAGAGCTAAATGTGCAGAAAATGGCAGTATTTGAGAGAACTAAGCGTCCGATTTGAATGATTCAAACAACTTTCTGCTTGTTGTAACAAAATAATTAATTTTGGAAAAAAAATTTTGTTTCAAATTTTTTTTTCAATTTTTTTTTTTTGTATATCGAAAATAATTCAGTTTTTAATCGTAATTCTGACTAAAGTTCTAACGTCTAAGAAATATGTTTAACTTTGCAATTCAGTTTATATAATTCTTATAAATGTTAGACAATGTTACAATATTTATAATAATCTATTTGAAAATATTCCATATTTCTCGAACATTTCGTTACGGTACCGGAAGTTCCAGCAATTTGCCTTAAGACACGATGCCATACACCCCACTAGTTTGAAATTATTTTTAAATGCAACATTTATGAAGAACATAAAAGACTCCTAATTAAAGAAGTATGGTTTTTTACAGTTTTTTTTTTTAATTTGTCATCTATCCTTTTTTGCTCCTTGTACGAGGTGAGAAGAGACAGCCAGGAAGCAAACAGATTCAACTTTTTATAATTTTAAAATAATTTTATGAAATAATAGCTACATTATTTAACCAATGTAAAATTTTAATCAAATTTTAGATGAGATATTTTATTTTTAATATTTATAAATATATATATATATATATATATATATATATATATAACCTTGATCTTGCATTAGAAAGAAATATTTATCAGCAGAGGTTGAATAACTATTAATTTACATTTTCTCTTTTTCTCAACTTGCCTTTTTATTTACTATTTGTTATTGTTTATATTTTTGCCAATGATTAGTTGGTCCTTTTTACTTAACCCGCATGTAAGCATTTATAGGGGTTATTAAAAAGTTGTTGAAACTAACCTAAAATTAACCATACAAAATACAAATTCAGGTAATTATAAACTAAATTAAGAGCTTAAGACCAAAAAAACCAACAAAAAAATACTTTTGGCAAAAATATTAATATATTTCCGTTTATCTTCTGATGGCGACACATCTTTTTCTTCTACTTTAAAATAGTATTATCAAAAAATTTATTCAAATCTAGCTCTGCCCTATTAGAAATTTTTTTTAACTACATATATAGCTTGAATCGATTTGAACTCTCGAAAATAAAGAAAAACTGAGAAAATAAATCAGTGTTTGAGAGTGTCAGTTAATTCGGATGTGTTAGTCTTCCATGCCGCCCTTACATAAGACGGGCGGTCCCGAATTTCGGCCTCGGGTTAGGGAAGCAATGAATATTTATAGGATTCTTTCAGATCATCCCTTCTGTATATTCTTGTACATAGTATATCGCGTACCCGGAATACCCACCCGCACCCCCAATGCGACGATCGGTCGAGGGCGATTTGGTCCTATATAAATATGTACGCACATGAGGAAACGTCGAAGGTATAGAAACGCAGAACTGCATAACTTTTATGTACGTGACTTTTAGACGAAAATATTTCTTTCGGGCGATAAATGACTCAATTCCGCAAGGCGTCGTGCTGGATGAAAAACTCGAAGTTTTTCATCATAGATCGTCAACCCCGGGATTGCCTTTCTTATATATGACCAATTTATTTAAATCAGAAAAATGAGAAATGAAATATTTTTTACAATACTAGAATAATTTTTTTTATTTCTTTGGCTTTTTGCTAGATAACTTAACTATAATTTAAAATAACAAATACTATTTAACGAAATAACGAAAATCAATTTTTATAAGTCACACCTACTCACTTTTAGTAAGGAAATTTAGGAAAAATAAAGTTCTCTTCAGTTTTCTTCACAATCAACTTACTATTTAGCTAGTGAAAATTAACACTTGTGCCAGGCAGTTTGTTTTCATAATTTATGCTGATTTTCTTAAAATTGAAGTTCGGAATTATTAATGTGTGAGGCTATTATTATTTGACTTCAAGATATTGGTTTTAACAATTTTTTTATTCATCGCGTTTTATCTCATATGATTATGCTCGAATATGCATATTCGTTTTATATATTATTGCCAGCTATGTAAACTATACTTTTTGAAAATTTGGGACAATCTAGGTCAAATGATCTAATTCCAGGACATATATTGCTTTTAGAAAAACCCCTGACACAAAATGAAAATCCGGGACTATCCTGGCCTAACCAGGACGTTCGGCCAGCTTGGTTAAAATAGCCACTTTAATAATTATAATTCTGAAATTTATTTCTCTCATTAACCAAAATTGTTGAATAGACATACTAGAAGCGTTAAATGTTATTAAAGTTTATTATAAAGAAAATTGTTAATTATACAGAAAAAACTACACAAAAAATAGAGTCTCTAAATGCAGTAGATTAGTGAAATCTTCGAATTACTCGATTGTAGTGAAAAAGTTCTATGTACTCATTGTCAGTAATTCTGGTTTGATTAAAAATTTGATTTTTAAACAAACTGATTTTAATTGTATACTTGAATAGTATTTGTTAACTTAATCATAATTTAATTATATTCAAGTAATTTATCAATAATAAATTATTTATAATTACCAAGAATATTTGCACTTGTAAATAGAAAAAACGCTTGTTGAGAAAAATATATATCATAATAAATATCAAATAACGCGTTTTTAAAAATATCGCTTCAATATCGGTGGAAATAATATTATATTCTCCGCAAATAAAAAGATAGACTGTTTCCATCTAGACTTTTTCGAACATTTCTTCTGAAGTAGAGATGTGAACCTAACAGAAGAAATTCTGAGAGAAATATCTTTTTTTAAATTATTTAATATAAATATTTAAGTACTTGTGCCATATAATATAAAATTTTAGAATTTCTAATGCTCGAAGCTATTTTCTACTCTCATATCATTCACATTCAAACAACCGGAATACTTTTTACTAATATTTATTAAAATTGGAGTGTAAATTTTAATTATTTTGATTTTAAATGAATAAGTAATAGACTTTTACTTTTAATAGATTTATAAACAATTGAGAGAAGTAATAATTTATCTTCTATTCATCTAAAAAATAAAATCAAGCACATATGTCCAAATTTGTAGAACATTTACTTACTTAGCAAGTCATGCATTGACTATTATTATTCGTTTAATATTATAATTATAAAATAATATACTATAGGTATATCATTATTTTATATACTTAATAGGCTTATTAGAATCATATAAATTACCTCTAAAATTTTTAATCCACGTTATTTTTCTTGGATAAAGAATCCTGCAATGAAATTCTACATTCTTTTTCATAACACTTCACAATTACTTTTATAATAAAACAAATTAATTGGAATTATTGGCGATATTTTAATATTACAAAAATATTTTATGCATATGTGTTTATTTTGATATAAAGATATGTAAGATTTGTATACTGAGTTATTCCCACGTCGTTCTAATAGTCATACCTTTACTATTATTATTCGTTTAATATTATATTAATAATTAGTAGTATACCATAGGTGTATTATTATTTTACATAGTATAATTTAATCATATAATTTATTTTTAGATTTGTGCTCCTTAAGTTTCCTTGATAATAATTCATTCACAATTAATTTTATTATAAAAAATCATTTAGGTCAATTGCTGATATAATTCAAAAATATTCTCATATTTTATGCATCTGTTTTTTTTTTTAATTTATAAAATATGTATGGATTTTCACATTATTTTATTCTATTTGCGTACTCTCTCGTCCGCCGCCCTCAATTTAACATAAATATATTTTAAATATTACAAAATTTAATGATTTTATAGAATTTAAATTTAGTAGTAAATGAAGTCTTTATCGAACATTTCCTTCAATTAAAATTTAAAAAAATATTATTGTAAACATTAGAATATCGCCATTAAACCATTCACTACAAGATTCAAGTTAGAACTGAGCGCAGGTCGCGCAACCCTTCACTATAAAAAACGGAAGGGTAAAAAACAACCCTATCATAAAGGCATGTTCTGCATATACAATAGCCAGTGCTGGAAAATGATCTCTTAAAAAATCCCTCTCAAACTAAATACTTAAAGCAAAAAAATGGTGGAGAAATGAGTTATTAAAGACTTGTTTTAATATCATGAACTTACTCCAATTTAAATTTAAATTTTATTTGATTTGATTTATTTCATTATTTCATTATTTTATTTTCATTGAGATCAATTTTAAACATTTTTTTTGTTACTAGACATGTGTTGAAAATGTAGTTTTTGGAGTTCTTTATTTTATTAAATAGACAAAGATAAAATAATAAATTTTATTAATAAAAATAATAATATATTTAATTATATATTATTATTATTATAATAAAATTATATATTATTTAAATTGTTTATGATTAGAAAAAATATTTTACTGTTTGTGAAATGAGTCGTAAAAATATTTGAAAAAAAACTCTATAAATATTTTCTTTTGTATATTTATTGTTACCTAAATTAATAATTATTTTACATAAATTATTAATACATCTTATATTAATCATGTTCCTTATAATCATATAAATGTCTGTTATATAATTATTACTTTTAATGAACACACTTTGATATATAAATATTAAATTACACATTTCTATTTTTTCTATTTAAAATATTCCAATATTCTGAGCTAGCCCTGCATATATTTGCAAAGTGATTAAACCCATTGCACCAGCAATAAGACCCCGTACTAATAAGACGCACCATGGCCCAACAATAATGGCTTGAATAACACTATCTATCACAAGACCTCTCATTGCAGTCAATAATAATAAGATCGTAATTATTGGAACAAAGGCCTTTTTAAGATCGTGCCGGGAGAATAACCAGACTAAAGTGACTGTAGTTATGTGTTGAACCTAAGAAAAAGATCAATGGATCAAAATTTGTTAGCTTCTTAAAGCATTTTTTATGAAATAATTTTATGTCAAGAAATCTATTTTGAATATGTTTTTCCTGTCTTCATACCAAAGCTAAATTTCCTTCCAGACATTTTTGCATGTAAGTCCATTGGAATTCCGCTCCTCTAGCACCAGTCCACAAAAGAAGACCTTTTGTTAAAATAGCTTCTGCAGCAGCCCATCCCAAACCTGCTGTTATCAATTTACTATGACCTTTTCCTGGTATACAAGATAATACCAATCGCAATCCTAATAAATCTGCAAAATCTACACTGCTTCTTAAAAACTCCTATTGAAACATAAAATATATTTATTAAATTATACAATTATTGAATGTTAAGCTAGCAAAACTCAGTTTTGAATGCAAAAAACTATTCAAGTTGTGCTTGATATAGTTGCAATGTTATTACAAACGTACATATAGAAATACTGTATAACCAGTCGATCCAAGTGAATCAGCAGAATCAGGGAAGAAAGTAGCTAATATTAACATTTTACACAATTGTGTGAACATATATATTCCGCCGGCTTGGAAACATTTCCAAAAAGCGCCATATTCTGATCTGAAGGAATAGAAGAAGAAACATTTTGTCTCAAAAAGTAACTTCAAACATTAGGAGATTTCATATATATATATATATATATATATATATATATATATATATACGAATTGTTATTGATTTATGATTTTATGTCATTATCAGACCATATAAGCGTAGACCTGTTCTCCCAGGCGTCTATTATATCAGTTGTGTTAAAAATAATGTATTATTTGAACTATTCATTACAAATTCAATTATAAAATAATCTGCAATTGCTGGCAAGTTTTGTGGTGTAGTTTTGTGTCGTGTACTTGTAATAATGAGATTCTCCGATGTTCAATATATTGATGATGATATAAGAATACAGAAATGTATGGAACAATAAAGACTTTCAGAAAATCTGTTTGCTAATATTTCATATAATATATAAAGCAATATTTTTCAGTAATTATTTCTCATTTAAATGGACAGATACTTACAGGCCTGCTAATTTATAAGTCATGTAATAAGGTACATAAACTAAAGCAACACAATTTCCAAAATGATATAACGTCATTTTCTTTCAATATAGATTTATTCATTAACTTTTAAATGAAAAATTAACTAACCCAACTAAGTGTCTTACAGGTTAGAATTTCTTGTCATTTAACTTTTGACTATACTACACGTAATTCATTGGAACTGTGGTGTCATCTATTTATTAGTATCATTTAGCAAATATCAGAGCCATTTAAATATATTACAAAATAAGATAAGATTTAAATTAATTTATATACGTATTTACCTAAGTAATTTTTTTGCAAAAAAGCGTCGATAAAGGGCTAAACTTTTGGCTTGAATATGGATACATACAGATACTTTCAAATTTGTTGTTTATTGATTCAAAATGATATGACCGAGATAAAAAAAATTAGCAAATTTACTTTGGGAAGTTTGTAGTAACATCTTAATTTACTAGTATGGCATTCACTAAAAACGTATATATTCTGTATTGTTTATGATTGTTTAACAAAGATTTTATAACATTGAAATATTCAATTTTTAAGTATTCTCTTGTCTATTTTCCTGTAATGTGTTTATAATGAAACAACGAGATACCTTATGTAAATATTTATTTATTACATAAAGGGCTTTGTATTATACAAATAATTTAAGCCATAGCCATTGCTGGTAGGACAGATGGTACTTCAGGCTTGGGAACTTTGCTCTCACTGCTCGGTACTGTTGGAAGTGGTTCTTCTTTAGGATCGACAACTGAAACATTATCAGGAAGTGGTTTCTTGGGACCTTGTTTGCCTGCAGGGTCGAATGGCAACATAATTTTAACTTTAATTCCTAACACTCCTTGCCTCAACAATACATGACGGGTGGCTGTGTCAACATAGTCATTGCATGGATCTCCTGAGTGGATCATGAGTCCATCAATGAATTTCATTGACTTGGCACGTTGTCCTCTGAGTTTTCCGGAAACAACTACTTCACAGCCTTTAGCTCCAGATTCCATAATGAAACGCAATACACCATAACAGGCACGTCTTACAGCCAAACCTCCGATAAGTTTGTATCTTAAAGATTCAGCTTGAGCAATTGCGCACAAACCTCTGGTAGCAACCTACAATAATAAGGCATATTAATAATATGCAACAGCTTTCACTAGTCACAATCATGTACTAGCAAATTAACTCAAAATAACATTATCATTGACATACTTTTTCGGCATATAATTCTACGGAGTTATCAATGAAATTGAAACGCTTTTGAACTACTGCAGTAAGTTCACGAATACGTCGACCCTTCTCTCCCAAGACATTTTGTGTTCTTGTTGCCATGATAATGATTTCAGTTCGGGTTGGGGTAACTCGAACCTCGACTCCGGAGTACCCATCTTCTGCCAATTCTCTTGTCAAAAACTCATTGAGCTCAGCTTTAAAAACTCCGTCAGCTACGAACTAAAACAGAAATAACTAATCAGTCACTTAGAACGCTTCGATATCTTTGACACATGTTTTTCGGTCGTATAGGTTATAACACGTTTTACACTTATGTTTTGTTGAATAACATTGTTCCTCAAGTCACAAACTTTACTTATATGCACGAAAATCCTTACCTTACGTTTTTTGGAAATTGCAGTGGCCATAATTGTGTATTTTAGTTTCTGACAAACGTATACATTTGCAGCACGAAGAGGAAAAGAAATAATTTTCTATGAACTGTACTAAGTGGATGCCGGAAACAAATTACATGTTGCCAACTTATCGACGTAATGGCGCGAATTATAAATCATTCTTACTTTTCATATTATCATTCATTGAACTAATTTAATCACTTCAACAACTCAGTTTATAAAAAATTCGTATATATTTATTTTAAAAGTAACAAAATATTAACATTTAATTCAATGTAAAATCCAAATATATTTATTAAACTAAAAGTAAAATTCTGTGTAAAATCCAAAATATATATTTTTTAAACAGTTTTAATGAATTTTAATAAACTCAATTGGCTATTAAATATGAGATCATATTTTCAATCGCAGATTCGGATTTCAAAAGCAATCTATTACTAACTTTTACATTAAACACTTATGCCACTGCAAAAAAAAAATGGATGAGAATACCTTAAATAAAATAAAACATTTTTATTAAAGTTCATGATACACATACATATGATACATATTCAAGTATACTCTTCTAAATATATATTCTTTATTTTACCACATATTCAATATGCAAACAATTATATATAAAATGTAATTACACCACAATCATGCAAATGCAATATACAGTATCACAATTTACAAGACAATCTATTTACATTAGCTTGTTAACAAAGTATAACAATAATAAAAATAGGGTTTATTTTTACATGAAATTACATGATATGTGTATAAAAAGGAAGTTTACAGAAATCATCGAAAGTTGAATTAAATTGTTTTAATTTTATATAAAATTATTTCCAAATAGGCACTTAGCAGTTGGAAAAATAGTAACTTAAACACTAGCATATATGGTGTCTGTGAAATTAATCTGGAATGATTCACTGAAGTCTTAAAATAATCTTGCAACATAATAAACTTTGATTTCAGAGTTTACGAATAATCATATGCTTAAATATAATTGGCTAATATCAATTTTCAACAAGAATAAAATGTGATCCAGTACAGATTATCATGACACATTTTCAATTATAATATACATATAATAACATAATACAAAATAATTAAATGGAATATATTATAAAATAATTGATTTGGTGATTAACTTATATTTTATTATCATTATGTCCATTTCTCTATTCCTCAGCCCGAATCATATATTATTCACATTCCTTAAGACTTAATAAAGATTTACGCAGTAAATCATGTTGAGATCTAGCTTGTTTTATTTCCAATTCTGCCAATTCCACAAGGCTGAAAATCAATAATTTGTTAAAATTGTATAAAAAGTATTTACTATAAAAAATTACCTTTTTTTGAAGGCAGCTACTCTTCTAGCACGAAAACCAATAAGCTCATCTTTTCCACGAGCTGACATTGATTCAAACATTTCACAAGCTTTTGTTTGAGCAGTCTCCGCCTAAAAAAAATTTAATTTAACGAACAGTCTTTAGATAATCAAAATTGTGAACATACAGAATACATAAAAATGTTAAATGATTATAAAAAAAAATTCTTCACATAATTATTACCTCCTGTACTTCTATAGGCTGCATGTTATTGAAAAAATATGTATATAATTTTTTTCTATTTTATATTGGTTACAATCTTACTTACCGCATGAACATCTTTATTTTTTGATCTAGCCTTTTCTAAATTTCTATTTGCAGTCTCATATTCTGCCAAACATCTGCAAAAATTGGTTTTAAAATAATGTTATAATTTTAGACTATAAATTCAAAACTAGACAATCTTAATTACCTTAATCTTCTAATTAACAATGCCTTAGCTGCATTGCTCTCTCTTTGATAATAGCGTAAAGTATCGCCTAGTTTCAGATCTTGATCACTAGCCACTCGACATTCTATTTTCTGTGAAAATATGAATTGAACATTACTTTTATGTTATTACTTTTATAATACACAACACATACCCTAGCTTTCTCAAAAATATCTGCAGTTTTTGCTAGGAACTTCTCCATAGAACTACCTGTTCCATGTTCAGTAATAGAAAATTCTTTCAAAGCACATGAGATTTTAATGTAACAATCGGCCATTTCTGGAAAGTATATTGCATATGTAAAATTCATTAAAATCAATCAATTTTAAACACACAACCAACCTTTATGTTTGTTAGTCATCTTAGAAGTTCTTTGTGCTGCTTCCTTTAAATTAGAATGATATTCACCCAAGAAATTATACTCAGTTTCAAAAAAGTCATTAACGTCCCTCACTGTAGCACCAAGATAAAGTTCATCAGTTGTTTTACCTAGACATCGAACCTAGAAACAAAAATTTAGAATTAAAATACATAATTAAAACCAGACATGTTATGATTCGAAATCATAAAATACAAATCTCCATTATTAAAGAACTAATATAATAATTACCAATCCTCCAAGATATTCCATTTTCCTTTTTGGACGTGCACAAAGGTCTTGATCATACTCTAAAAATACTTTCAAATGTGAATCATTACGAAATACTGGATGCCCTGCTAAGCGGGTGAGGAAAACCTCATGCATAGCAACAGTCTTTTTGAAAGTAGCAAGATATTCTCTGAAAGAAAATGAAAATATAAGAAAATTAATGCTTATAATTCAGTATACAAAGTTGATCATACGCCTCTAGTTCTTGTTTCATTTTAGCAAATTCTTCTTTAGTCATATTGCCCTCTCCTTCACCTAAACGTTGCAATTTTTCTCTAGAGGCATCAAAGTCTGGCCTCGGTGGGGCTGGTGGAATCTGACAAATAAAAAATAAGTTATAAAACTATTTGAAGAATAGTTAGATATTGTTTTGAACTAAATGTTAAAAAATAAAAATATATTGTACTATACTGTTTGTACTATAGTAAACATGAATGTGAACTTACAATATAACCTGCATATTCTTCATTTTCTTCAAACCTATCATGTAACCAAATAAATTCTTCATGTTGCCTAACTACAAAAAATTCAGGCTTATTGTATCCACTTAGCGAAGTTTTTGTATGAACTGTGAATTTAACTCTATCTTTCTCAGACAAGGCATCTGATATATCAACCTGGAAAACATATTCGTAAAACACTTTTCAGTAGCATAAATTTGATAAATTTATATTATTATCAGTACTAGTAAGCAATTTTCTGCCGAAGGTGCGGCATCCGCATTATTTTGATTTCCCGGATTTTTTTCAATCACTGGACTTGAAGTATCATCCACTCCGTCCTAAAATAAAGAATTTAGTAAAGATAGTTGAAATTTATAGTACTTACAATTTAAAAAATGGCAAAATATAGAAACAAAGTTATCTTTCCGCGATAAAACATTTACGCCCCTTTCTGACAAAGAACTAATAATTTAAATTGCAGTATAAACAAATCTTGCATAGCACAAATCAATAACTTATTTACCATCATG